GTATCTACATAGAAAGGGAAACCAATACAAACTTATGTGAGGCATGGATAGCAAGCTTATGTATACATTACAGAAATATTGTGACAAGTACATATACCTCACGCCCCAAAGCCTCATCGAGCTCCTGCCTATCATCTGGAGTAATATCTTTAGCATACAACTGAGCTAAACAATTCCTTATCCTGGACAAACAATAATCAGAAACATAATAGTGAACACAAGTAGGTTTTGAATTGAAACTGTTCATCAGAAAATGATTATTTAGAATCAAAGAACAAACCTTCCATGCTTCTGCAGTAAAGATCTTCGAACCGATTGAGTAGGATGAGCAGTGAAGACCAGATCCACAGTCTGGTTCTTAAGAGCATCAAAGACTTCCTGAGGAGATTTCTTCAGATCAACCACAAGTCTCTTGAGAGTTTCTTCGATGTCAGATTCGGTTGTTGCACTGTTCTCGTCAACAAAATCACCTTTCTTCAATTTGATCCTTCGACGGTGAGCAATCTGGACTTCCTCAGCCAGGTTAGCCAGGTTGAGCATGTGGGAAAAAACTTTAGATACAACAATGGAGTCACCAGGGTCCAAACTCGTCAAAACATTTCCCAATTCCTCAAGTTTCTTGGGGTTATTCTTCCCTTCATATTCAGCTGAAAGTTCATAACATTCTTGAACCTAAACAAATCAAACACCAAAAACACAATTTTATCACCATAAATCACTGAACAAGTTTTTAGAACAACCCTTTCTATTTACCATCTACCACAAAAATGAACAGAAAAGTTTGGAAGAAACAAATAAAAACTAACAGGATCTACAAACCAATCCAATATATAGCTCTGATCTCCAGGAGTTCAGAAACCAGAGATATGAAACTCTCATGAGTCAGTGTACACTCAATCTATGTTTCGCAAACTCTGATAAGAGCTGGATACAAGTAAGAGTACCACTATAGTCGTTTTTTCATATATTTGAAGAATCATTTACTCTGACACCATGTTCAAATGTGTTAAACAGAAGCACTCAATTGATAATGAAGCAAATTAGTGTCTCATACAAAGGATAATACTACCATGAGAATTCATCATCGTTTCAAACACTTCCAGCAATTAAAACTTCAAACTCCAACGTAGACTGGTTTCAGAAAACAAGGGTATCCACCAAACCATCAAAAACCAAAATTCAAAAAACAAAAGTGAAACAGAAGAATGATATACCGTTTCCTTGAGGCCCTCGCCATGCAAGTCTTGAAGAATATCAAGAAACCGATCCAAAAGCAACGCATCATATTCCACCAATTTATCATCTTCACTCACTTTAGCAGGAACCAATTGCCGTAACTGTGCATCAATGGATGCCAACTTCACTACCTTGCTATTGTCGTTAATGAAACTCGTCATTAGCACACTCTTAAAAGCTTAGTCTGCATAAAAGAAAATAAAACTTATCAGAACATCAGAAACCCGAATCAAGTACTTGATATATAACAAGATAAGTACCTTATACACAATACATACACTAGCAGTTATTTCAACGAGGAGGTTAAAAAAAAACAGTTGTATATTTAATTTATTTTTCGTTTTAAAATATATTTTGAAGTGTAAGTGATACAGACCCAGAAAAATAGAACTTATGAAATCAAAGACTGGGTACAAAACCATCTGTAATTCAATAAGGTATGCATAGTTTCATGGAGGAAAGTCGGGTCATCGTAAAAAATTATAAAAGCAGAGCATGTAAAAGAATAAATGAAAGATTAAGAACTAAAAAGTTAAGATAAACCCAGATTTGGATAATCAAAGTTAGGTTAATCATGATAAAGTACCTGATTATGGGTCACTGAGGAAGAAAACTTCGGATCAGAAAGAAAGAAAAAGAAAAAACTAAAGGGAATTATGACTTATGAGAACTAAGAACAAGTATGACGATTATTTATAGATGAAGAAAACAAAATTATAGTAAATAAATTAATGTTTAAATTTAAGTCTAAGATCAATCAAACAGTAAAATAATTATTTTCTTTTCACGGAATATTCTTTCAAGTGTAAAAGGATTTTCTATTTTGATTAAATTACTTGTTATTTGTTATTTTATTAATTCTTAGAATTTGTAGTGTCCTAAAACGAGTTAATATTTATTAAGTTCTCAAATTCTAATGTATTTTAGAGTAATTTTTTTTTGTTTTAGAATGTTATATGTAAAAAAAATAACACAATAATAAATCATAAACGATAAAAGTAGATAACTTTTCTATTAAATGTTTAACACAATTGTATTTCTAAAATAATAAATTATTTTTTATTTTTTTATTAGTCTAAATGAATACAAAATAATATTTATTCAAAGACTCTCAGTCATTTGAAATTGAACGACGCCTGTATTTGTGGTGTTCGAACTCAATACCTTAAAAATAATAATAATTCATTAACCATTGAAATCACATAATTCGTACTTGAATATTTTTTAATATATTTAATTTAATCAAAATAATTTATATAAATAAACTAGTGGACACGTCATGTGAAATATAATTTGATTCTAACTAAGGGACCTTCAAAAAGTATTTAAATTTAATACGAAATATGTGGTTGTAAACCATAAAAAAAAATCATTTTTTAAAAAAAATTTATCCTTGAAAGCATAGGCTATCACAAGATATCAAAAGAATAGATTATAACAAAGTTGGACCAAAAGCAAAAATGTCAATTTTAAAATTATTTAAAATCTGATTTATGAATACGTTTTAAATATTTAACCTAATTTAAATTATTTCCAAGTAGTTTATTTTTAAAAAATATTTAAATATTTGTTACGCCATATCATTGAATCTTTTAGATAAGGTAATTATAGAATAATATATGTTAGGAATTTTTTTGATCTATTAACATCGTAAACATATTTTGCATACGTAATTACTTGAATCTAAAATCTCTAAAAAAAACAATATTTTCTTTTATTATTGAAATCACTTAATGGATTCTTGAATGTTTTTAATATGACTACACAAATAAATAAACAATAAACATTTACATAATTACGAACTGAAAGTGTTATTTTTCTTGTCATAGATTTAAGTAATTGTATATTTATGGTGTGTGTTTTTAATAATTAAAAAAATTATATAGATACGATCTTATAATAACCCTAAAATATTTAAAAAAATATTTATATTATTATATAAATTATTGTTTTTACATTGAAACTATTTTTATTATTTGAATAAGAAACGTGGAACATGATAAAGGCCTGAAATCGAAGCCGTACAGCGTGATAAGTGATTGAATTTGAGGTCATATAGCGTTACTATGACATCTTGCCTTATGCATGCAACTCTCGTATCATTTTGAAATTAGCGGAAGCGTGATTGTCATTTCCCATGTGGTTTAGCGGCATGGGAATATTTCTTTAGACTTTTTATTAGATTTTGTTATATTTATTTATATTTTATAACTGTAGCACTACATATTATATATACATTTATCAGTCTCGTTCTTAACTTTTAAACAATATCTTTTATTTAAAAATATTTTAATTATTTTTCAGTTAAGTTAATATTAAATTAACATGTAATATTAATTCAATTATTAAAAAGTTTATAGTAAACATGTATATCGTAAATTGATCATGACATATCCATGTCCCGATTTCATTTATTTAAAAAATAAGTAATTAGAGAAGAAGCATATAAGTAATTTAATTTCAAGTCAATTTTAATTACATATTCTCAATAATTTACGTGTAATCTCGGTTGATTTTATGGAATCTGAAATTTTATTCAATCTTATTTAAAAATCCAAGATCTATAATACCATGCAAATTATTTATTTCTATATATATAAAACACAAGTATATAAATTTCAATGGGAATAAAGTTGACTGTAAAGGTTCTAGAAATGGAATGAAGATTATTTGGTAGTGAAAATGAGAATAATGGGTATCCCTTTGGTATTTTCTAACTAATAAAGATTATTAGTGTTTGACAAATGAGAAAGAATGGGAAACCTGATGGGAAAATTCTGAAAGGACATCCATGAATGACCCATTTGGTCGGTCCATGGTGGTGGCATTATCATTTACCAGCAAATTAAAGTACATGAGCTTACTTGAAATGAGATTGGATAATTTTAGATGTTACTAATAAATTATATCAATGAGACTATTAAAAAAAAGTTTAGAATCCTTCGAAGTTATAGTCTAATTAATATATATTTGGGCCCTTATAGTACAAAACCAATTATCTCTAACGTTACTGATCCGTTCGGTTTAAGTCTCTATATTAATTGTTAACTTCTTTCTTCTTCTTCTTCTTCTTCTTCTTCTTCTTCTTCTTCTTCTTCTTCTTCTTCTTCTTCTTCTTCTTCTTCTTCCATTCTCTGATGTCTTTCATTTAATTTTCTTTCTCAAAAGGTTGGATGTTGGACATGGTAAAGAATTAAATCTTAACAAATGTCTGAGAAAAAAATTAGGAGGAGGAGGTCAATGATGTTTATTCTTATAAATATATGTTGCATTTACTACATATTTATGGAGGTCCATGTGATGGTCGAAGTCGAAGGCAACATCGGCATACTCAACGATCTATGGTTATGAGTCCATGTCGCTGTTAGTGACTGAGACTGAAAGAGAATACTTGAAACAAGGGACCACACATTTGATCATGCACCATATGAATCGTCGAAACCGAACTACACACCTACATTTTATGGAGGTCTCCATCGCCATGTCCATTGTGTTTATATGGAGAGGACCTCTTTGATCCCAAGGTTTATCATCGTCTTCATAGTAATTAACTCTAAAACAACAAATATGTAGAAGAAGAAGAAGACACGTGGTGTTTTTTTTAAGTGCCACGTAATACTTCTGTTAATAGATTAACGAACATTAATGACAGAGGGACTAAAATCAAACGGATCAATAACGTTTAGGATCATATAACCTTAATTTTTAAATTAGTGACTAAAGTCTGTCAATCCGAAAACAAAGGGAATTATTCCCATAGTTTAGCTTTTTTTATATAGCGAAGGCTCGACTCACAAGCTGGGTTGCACCACCAAGCCTAAGGGAATGACCCATTAAGAGGAAAATTATGTATTTTACTCAACTTGTAGGAACCATAATGTACAATTCAAGGTATTTGATGTCATGTAATATAATATTGGTAGTGTGTGACAACAACAACAACAACAAAACTCTATTCTCATATGCAATGGGGTAAGGGGGAGGTAGGTTAGTAGGCTGCCCCCAACACCAGGTTGAGAGCAACTTCCGTGGAAGACCTCTGGCAATTCAGAAAATTAAAAAATACAAATTAAATACAATGCATGTATAAATAAATAAAAAATAAATACATAGCTGAACAGTCTTCATATGCAGTCATTCATATGCGCGTCTGTAATGGGAAGTAATCCCTACAAATAAACTCTGCCTAAAAATCTCTGCATATAGACAGAAAACGTAAGTCCTGGATTAATTTAAAAAGAGGAAACATGATGAGAAAGATACACACATGTCAGCGCTAGCAAGCTACGAGCAGGAATAAATTCAAAATGGATTAAAACCTAAACTAAGGCAATGAAAATTTCAACAAATACAATTAAAAAGAAGACAGAGATGCTACACCCTATGACTGTTGACCCACACTACTCGACTACCCTGGTCTTAAGTCTTCATACTTTCCTATCAGAGGTCATGTCCTCGGTAAGGGATAAATCCTTCAAATCAGATCTCAAGCAGTCTACCCACTTCCTCCTTGGTCGTTCTCTCCTTCTGGCACCGTCGATTGAAATCGACTCTACCCTCCTGACCGTATCCGACGGTTGTCGCCTAAGGACATGCCCAAACCACCGTAGTCTTCCCTCACTTAATTTTTCAGATACAATCACCACCCCCAAGGACATCCTAATAGCAGAGTTTGGTGTCATGTCCCACAGAGTCCTACCACATGTCCATCAAAGCATTCTCATTTCTGCGGCCTCCATCCTCCTTAAGTGATCCTTCTTGATTGCCCAACATTCTGATCCATACAGCAGCGCTGGTCTTATTGCCATTCTATAAAATTTTCCCTTGAGTTTTAGAGGCACCTTCTTGTCACACAAAACCCCAGTAGTAGCCCTCCACTTTAGTCATCCCGCCTTTATACGGTGTGTAACGTCATCATCTACACCCCCATCTTTATGTATCATAGACCTTAGGTACTTGAAACAATCATTTGAGGGGAGAACGTGTCCTTCGATGCATACTTCTACATCTTTATCGTTTTGGTTCCCACTGAAGTTTGAACATAAATACTCTGTCTTTTCAATATTGATCCTTAGACCTTTTTCTTCCAAAGCAGTCTTCCAGGTAGCAAGTCTTATATTCAACTCATTTTTTGTTTCAGCAATTAGGACAATGTCGTCAGCGAAAAGCATACACCATAGAACACCGTTTGGAGTCGCACAATAGATGTCATCTATAATCAAGGCGAAGATGTAAGGGCTAAGAGCCGACCCCTGGTGGAGTCCTATTTTCACCGGGAAAGCCTCGGTGTCATGTAATATAATATTGGTAGTGTGTGAGTATTCATAAATCGGGTTGAATCGAGTTCGAGTTTAAGTATAGTATTAATGATTCTAATAACATGGTGCAACTTTTTTTTCTTCTTTTTTTACATAGTATTCATAAATCCAAGGGACGCAAAGCATGCCATGGCCGTGACTCTCAAGCTGTCGTTCATTCTTGCGCTTGCAGTTGCCCTAACTTTCCTTGGGACATGATATTTGGGCTGGTTTCTTTACTAATAGTCACTCACTTATTCGGAAATTTGCAGAGATGACGTCATTGCTTATCGTCTCAATGGCAAGAGATGTCGTACAAAACGTCTTCTCAGGTTTTAAATACTTTGGACAATTCATGTATACATGTTATGTTTCGTTTTTATTAGTGTTCATGTCAATATATAATATTATCGCATTGCGTATGAAATTACAGAGTGTAATTGGAAATCATGGTGTAGGGGTTGCAAGGGGATGTGGTTGGCAAAACCTGGGGCTGGCAGCATTTGTTAATCTGGGGACTTTGGCAGCATTGGTATACCAATTGCACTTCTTCTTGGATTTAAGTTTAAGCTCTCTGTTAAGATAAGTAAACTATCGATCCCAGTATGAAAAATCCTTTGATGTTTTAAAATGAACCATAAACAATTTTTTCATTAAATTTTAAAATAAAAATTACAGAAAAATATATTAGACTAAATAAATATGTGATATTATTATAATGTGTATTACTCTAATTAAAAAGATAAACTACGATGCGTCATCTATAATAATAAAAATTATTATTATTTTTATTATTTTAGTTGTCACCTACTAATTTTCTTTTTTTATTTGTTGTGTGATTTATCCAGGGTTTATGGATAGGTTTAATATGTGGTCTGTTCAGTCAAACTTGTATACTTACGTTGATTACATTTTGTAAGACATGGACAAAATTTAATTTTCCATAATAGTAATGAAACTCAACTTTCCGTTTATACTTTTCCTGAATTGTTTGAAGGCTGAATCCAGATTTAGTTAAAAACTTGTCGTAAAAAATAATACTATTCTTTTTTTTTCATTATTTAACAAAATAAAATATGTTTATTTATTTATTATTAATTTTATACATCCAAACAACTGAACAAGAATATAGATATTTCGTTTTCGTTTTCTTTTGAAACTCTTAATTACCCTAAATTGGAGTAAGCAGAACGAAAAGAAAAGGAGTGAAACTTTTAAAATATAAAATGATTTTTATGCTCTTATAATCATAATTGTATTCACTTAAAAATCTTAAATTCATAATATAAAGAGGGGATAGAGCTGATTTATTCTGCTTTAGTTTACATTATTTTGCCTGTAAAGTGTAAACCTTAGCTACACTTGAGCCCTTCTCTTAATACTTGGATTATTTTAGTCAACACTTGCCTTACTACCCATCACTTTTTGGGTGCCTTTATGTAACCCACATGAGAAGCATTGGAGGCTTTAGCCAGGGTTTTCAACTCATTAGCAACCCAACATTTGGCTGTTTCCCTGTGGTAAAAGTACCCCAAGCACTTGCAATCCACAGTGCATTTCTTCCCACAATCAGTCTCTTTGATGGGCCCTTGTCCTTCATTGTACCGGCTCATGAAATGCTCAACTCCTTCAAGCTTGTAATACCTAAAATCATTGGGCCTACAAGAGCTCACCTTCTTCGGCTCACAATTCTTGTTCCAACCCAATAATCCCTTCGGTGATGGGCAAGCAACGCATTGGTTCTCTTCACAAACCCCAAAGTTCCCACGTCGCTCAGGCAATTCACATTCCGTGCCCCATATTGAGTCCCTAGAGAAGAGAGTGAATGTCTCTTCCCATGCTCTTGAATCAACTTTGTCATTGTAGGTAAAAATCCTGAGGTTACCGTCGATATCTAGCCGGAGGATCGACAACGTGCTGTTGTATTTAGGTCTAGCCAATATGAGATTCCCGGTTCCGCTGGAGGAGGATTTAGCCACGGTGTAATCTAGGACAATATTATAAGCAAAACCCTCATGAGTGTCCGGTTCAACATTTAGTGTTACATACTGTAATGTGCCATCTTCTGTACTTGGCCAAACTGATGATTTGAAGTAAACCAATGGCTTAGGAGAGTTCAAGCCCTTATATTGCAAGACCAACCCTTTGGTCTCCATCACCAAGCTATAAGCCCCATTGACGTTGTTTCGGACCGATGCTCGGCTCACAAGTTTGGTTGGGCCTCCAACTCTAAGAGACTGACCCACCAAGAGTGTATCAGTTGGATGGTCAAAACTTTGCCAAATGAACTTGCCCTTGGAGTCATGTAGCACCATGTTACCATTTGACAACAATTTGAACCCTACCACACCTCGGTTGGCAGTGTTACTCTGCCAAGCAATCCGGCCATCAGCATCGGCCAAGACAAGGTTTCCGTCAGCCCCGAGAGAGAACGTTGCGTTCTCACGAACCGGATTTCCCCGGTTAGCTTCCCAGACCCAACGAAACAACGACTCCGAACGCGTGCTAGCCATGCGTAACCCGAGGGTGAAAGCATCAGGGGTGGTGTTATAAAAGGCAAGCTGAAATGGGGCATTAGCTATACTTATGACACGATAATTTCCGAGGTATTCAACAACAAATGGCCCGAATTCGCCATTGTTGACATGCTTAAATGTTGCAGAGGGAGGAACGGTAGCTAAGGCATTGAAACAAAAGAGAAACAAGGAGATGACTAAAGAAGGGGACGTAAACATTTTGGCCATTGAAACTCGTTAGCTGCTGTTTTCAAGGTGATGGAAATGAAGCAAGGGAGAGCTATATTTATAAGGTTCCCGTAAGGGAACTTTGGATATTAAAGATATAAAAAAAATAGAAGATTTTTTTTTTTAAATTACAAAAGATGTGGATAATGTCTTATAAAATCCACCATGTTTGACCTTTGTTTACTGAAAAACAGACGGAATAAAACAAGAAGTGGTGCTGCTGATGGTAACATTTGCTAACTCTGGAAGTTAAATACACATATAAATAATAGAATAAATTCGATAAATCGAATATACGTATCATATTCACGTGTCGTCGTATATGTATCGTTTATTAGACATATTTATGTGCAAGCAAACAACATTGAATGGAGGCGTATTTGGGCAAAATTGAAGGCAAGAGCCGCCACCGCGGACAGGACTGATGGCTTTGAAAGTCCTTAGCTGTGCTGCAATTATTCATGTTGCCTTTATTTAGTGGCACTGCAAAGCGATAAGAAATAGCCACCGCTTCCGCACTACCCCTCACATGTACTTGGGGTCCCTTGCATTTGCCATTATGTTTTAGGCACTTCCTTTTTGGATATACCTTTCAAAGGCTATTAGTTTAATTTAAATAATTATTTTTATAAATAAATATTTTTTTTAAAAATTAGAACGGATTGTTAAGCCACAATTTTATGAAAAGAAAAATTCACAACTAAATTAGTTTAAATCTCATTCATTCTTTTAATGATTTGAAGTGATTACAAAATAATATTTGTTTATAATATTTTTTTAAACATTGACAACACAAACACCCCTATAAACCTTAAAAGAGAACAATACTTTTTTTAACCACTTAAGTCATTCAATTAATTTTTTTTCTCATCAATTCTTAAAATATTTACTTTAATTTTTTATTTTTAAAATAATGATGTACCATTTTCTTTATCAATTTTCTTGAGAGATTTCTTTGATAAGGGTTAGGACTTAGGAGCCGGGATGTTCGCATCAACGCTGTCGTTAAATCACAAATTCCATCATAACAAAAGGGCTGAAATCATAATTAGTCCAAATAATTTTGTTAAGTCAAGCCATTTATTAGATCCAATGTTCTCAGTCAAATTTATCTTTACCCCGCATGATTTTTACCTCTTAAGATTTTGCTCTATTTGTTTATTTAATGTTAAAAGGATAAAATGAAAGCTTTAGTACTTAAATTTTAACTTTTTATTAACTTTTACTTTAAGAATAAAAGTAAGTAATAAAATAAAATAATAAATGGTAAAACATAATTTTACTCCGAAGCCAAGTTTTTATGATGTAAAAGAGCCTACGATATCTTTTTTGCAGAAGAAATTATTGATAAAACTCAAATCTTAATTCTTATTACAATATAAACGAATTCTTAATTAACTAAATAATTTTATGTTAGCAACAAAATATCAAGTTAGCCATACATACATATTGTAATTTTGTTCTACTATTGCATTCTTGGTCAGCCAGATTGAAAAAGACAAGTATTAATATCAACCACTATTTTTTTAATAAATAGTGGTGACCAACATGTTAATTATTAATTAATTTAATAAGATAAAGTGTTAGGTATTTTAAATTAAACCTTAAATATTTAAATTTAACGTTGAAAATAGAAAAAAATAAATTAAAATGATCTTTTCCATTTAGATAGATATTACAAAATCCGATCTGATTCAATCAACCAACTTACCTAATACTGATGATACTACCAAAAGACAATGAATTATTCACCCGGTTTAACAGTTTAAATTCATTAAAAAGGTTTTTTTTTCATGTTTAGAGACATAATTCAGATTACTTATTAAGCGCAGGGTGTTCTTCTCGTGCATGCGAACCCGACCTCTGTATTATCATAGCATAATTTATTGCTAATTTTAAGTGAAAAAGAAGAAGCAAAAGAAAATTAAATATGGAACAGTTTATAAAGCAGCTAATAGTTTGATCAATCAAGCTGAATATAGGATCCTGGAATATCTTACATCAAACCCATTGCAGGAGAATGCTGCTGTTTTTTCTGTGACTTGAGTTCAAAATCATCACACATTTTCATCACTTCATCATAGCCAATCAAGCTGTTGGAGCTGCTTATGTTCCTGGAATAGCAAAAATCACTTCCGTGGTATTCATACACCTGTTCTGTGCCTTGTAATCTCGTCACGGTCGAGCCGTTTTTCACAGCGAGGACCGATCGCGCTTTCTGGATATTTCGGAGAAATCCGATGAAGAAATCGAAACCGACATTCCCGTACTTGTTCTCGTTAAATCCTAATGTGACATTTCTGATAAGAGCGAATGATCCTTCTCCTTGTGCCGTGAAGTCCGCATAAAAGTTGAAGAGGAAAGTCTTCCACGATTCAACTGCATGAACATAATGAAAAGGCAGCTGCGTGTAAACCCTGTCATTGAAATGGATCATCTGGTTCACAACCTGGAAATCTCCATCTTTATCTATTTGCATCGAGTTATTGTAACTGAAATCTTGAATCGAATGAGTCGTGATATTGCCATAAGAAGATTTGATCCATCCAGTTGAAGATATGAACCTCTTTGAGCTTGTCAAGAATTTCCCATTCAATCCCCTGAAATCAGATTCTTCATTGACACTAAAAGCCTTGTTACTGCACTCCACAAGCTTCCCTTCGGTTTTCGAACTTTTGGTATCTAACCAGAGGTGCAAATTGGCATCTATGAACCAGACATTCAAGGCATTGGTGACACTGAACCCCAATGTGTGGAGTTTTCCATCCAACAACTTGCCTAAAAGCGGGGTGAGTTCGATATCGTAAGAAGGAAGATCGAAGGAGCTAATACCGGTAATGGGACTCCAAAATGAAGGATTGATTCCACCGGTGTAGATGACAGTGAAAGGCCAAACTGCACCCACCACTTCACCATCAAGATTGACTACAACTTCCCTAAATGGTCCATTTCCAGGAGTGTCCATTAGATTATTATCAGCAATGTAATCATTCTGATAATTTCCGTACCAAAACTCATCGTTTTCATGGAAAGATACATAAACTTCCAATACAGCTCTATACACATTTGAGGGTACTCGAAATTGCTTCAACTCGGTATCGTTCGAATCCCGAACTTGGAACCACGAACCATCGTTCAATGGCTGATCTTGGGAAATCGGTAAGATCAGATCAGCCTTAGAAGAATGATAGTTAGATGCCAAGTTATTCGAACCGATCTTCTTCAAATCATCATTCATCACATTGCAATCAGCAGGATAGAAATGAAAGGTTAAATTAACATGGTAGACACCAGTATAGGTCTGGTCCACAATGTTACCGAGAAAAACAGCTAAAGTTTGTGTTTTGTTCTTCAAGAGCAATGAGTGATACCTTGTTACATCTTTCTCAACAGTCCAAACGATTCCATTCGGCGTAGGCTCCGGCGTGCAGCCCCGAAGTAGCTCGACGCCAGATAGCCAAACCCCAAAAATACGATCAAACTGTACTCCTTTGCACGTCGCCTTCCATTCGATCAAGATTTTTGCGAATTTTCGAGAGTAAAAAGCGGGTGGGTTGTAGTCTGCAACAACCGGGGGTCTTCCGTAAGTGAAACCGAAATCATGACGAAGAGCAAGATACGAACATGGCTTGGAATTTGGTAGTTTGATTGGTTTGGTTACTTCAAAGTATACAGTTGGTGAGTTTTCACTGAAAAGTACTGTGTTGTTGTTCAGTTGAGAGTGATGATTGGATCGAAGGATCATGTTCTTGCTTTTATGGAGATTTGCAATGGAGAAGATGGTGTGGCAGAGGAATAGCAAGAGAAAGAATGGGAGAGTGAAATCAAAGGAAGCCATTAATGGTGGCTTTGCTGGTTTAACTATCTTTGATGAACTCACTGCTGATATTTATTGTTAAAAATAGAAAATCTTAACATAGATGTGAAATCAAGTCATAGTCTTTCAGAATTTAAAATTTGAAACAAGTATTATCACCATTAAAGAAATGAAAGTAAGTATTAAAGAAACTGCAACGTTTGAGTAATGTCAGCATATATATTGCCTTGTAAGTTAAGTAGTTGTGGAAAAATCTCTAAAAAAATATTAAAGAAGAATATAAATAGTTGGTGGAACAATTAACTTAACAAGAAATGCTCAAATAAAGCATTAATGTAGTATCTAACAAAAACAAACGAATTTTATGCATGAAGACAACCAAAAACATATCATTACAACAGTTCAGATCTTATAATTATCAAGACTCGGGTAGACTTCACTTTACCTCACATGCATTGTTTTTCCGGTAAAGTTCAACCTTCTGCGTCTAGAATCGCATCAACAAATGTTTAATTATCTCTGCTTTCGCTATGAAAATAATTGAGTTATGAATCATGTTGGATAGGTAAAGATATTTATCAGGTTAAAATTAAGGATGTTAATTGGGCAAGACGAGAATGGAGTGCTCTCCTACATCTATTTCCGTTAAGAACTTTTATCTATATTCATGTCTCGCAACTCGTTACGAGTACAAAACTTAAAATTATGTCTGTCTCACGACCCACAAAATTAAAACCATCATTGTCCCACCATCCACATGAATCCCTAGACCCACCTAATCCTCATTGTATCTGCCTTGTAACGTACTTCATATAATATATTTATGAGTATTAATTAAATAAGTATAAACCAACTTTTTTATGAAAAAAAAGTATAAAATACCGATCGATCTTACTCCCTAAACGGACCTTAACTTGTGTCGGGGCCATATGTCTTTAATTGTTAAATTTCCAGGAATGTTGTGTTAGAAGATGAGGATGTAAGTAGTCTTAAAGGGTAAATAAGTTTTAGTTTGACTCCATTTAAAAATCAAACTTTTATTTCATTTTTGTTAAAAGTTCAATTCGATTTGATTCACGATTTCATAAATTCAACTTAATTTGAAAATTTTTAAATAAAATTTGAATTATAAAATATGATTCAAATAATTTAAATTTTAAATAATTGATAAATTAATTTTTAAATTTGAGTCGAATCCCTCTATCATATATATATATATATATATATATATATATATATATATAAAGAAATGTATATACATATTGTACTGATGTTTTAGAAGCCAAAAAAAAAAAGAAAAAGTTTTAGTTTAGTCATACACTCATCATGTTAATCCCCCTCTTTTTTAGCTCAAGTCTTCAACAAATAAATGAAAGATAAAATCCATGGCACCAAACAAACCTACTCCAAAACCGGAAAACAAGGCATAACGAAAGATAAATAAAATCCAGAATCAACTGTAACAAGGCAAAGCAAAAACATGAAAATTCCAAAACCCGTATCTCCGTTTAGGCTCTCCTCTCTTCTCCGCAGCCAAAAAAAACCCAATCCTAGCATTCGACCTTTTCAAAAACCCAAACCCAAACCTTAAACATACCGACAAACCCTTCCGTTACTCCCTCCTTTCCTATGACCTCATCATCACCAAGCTCGGCCGCTTCAAAATGTTCGAAGAAATGGAGCAAGTTCTTCACCGACTCAAAAACGACACGCGGATACTCCCAGAGGAGATCATTTTTTGCAATGTCATGAAGTTTTATGGCCGGGCAAAGTTACATGAACGTGCGTTGAAACTGTTCGACGAAATTCCTCTGTATCGTTGCCCCAGGACAGTAAAGTCTATGAACTCGTTGTTGCATGCGCTCCTGTTGAGCCGAAAGTTTGATGAAATGAAGGAATTGTTTTCGCGTATGGAAAAATACGCCCGCCCGGATACTTGTACTTATAATATATTGATCAATGCTTGCTGTTTAAATGAGCGTTTAGACGATGCTTGGAACCTGTTTGATGAAATGCAGAGGAAATGTCTGAAGCCAACTAGTGTGACATTCGGGACGTTGATTAATGCACTCTGCATGGAGCTGAAGATAAATGAAGCGTTCAAGTTGAAAGAAGACATGGTTAGGATTTACAACGTACAGGTTACTACTTTCATTTATGAGGTGATGATTAAAGGACTTTGTAGGATTGGTGAGTTGACTTTGGCTTTTAGGCTTAAGGATGAAATGATCACAAAAAGATTCAGATGGACTTCGGTTATATACAATAATCTACTTAGTGGGCTTTTCAAGTCTGGGAGGCAGGATGAGGCATTTAGGGTCTTTGAGGAGATGGATTCAAATGGGATTCAACCAGATACAATAACATACAACGTGATGATCAACCAGTTTTGTAAGGTGGAAGATTTCGAATCGGCTTACAGAGTGCTTAAAGAAATGCCTGATAAAGGGTGTAAACCAAATGTTATTACTTACAACATGTTGATTGCCATGTTATGCAAAGATGGGAAATGGAGTGAAGCAAATGATTTATTCGAAGACATACCGAGACAGGGGTGTAAGCCTGATGTTGTGTCCTATAGGACTGTTTTCGATGGGCTTTGCGGTGGATCGCAGTTGGAGAAAGCAGCATCCATTTTGGATGAAATGATTTTCAAGGGCTATGTGCCACATTCTGTAAGTATACATAAATTTGTTGCTGGGTTGTGTCAGGGAGAGAGCATGAAGTTATTGTTGAGGGTTTTGAATAGTCTAGCAAAAGGAAATGCCATTGATGAAGATACATGGTTAATGGTGGTCTCTAGGGTTTATCAGGAAGATAATCATAAACTGTCTATTGCATCTCAGCTTCTTGATACTCTGCTGATGTAGTGCTACACTGTTTGAGCTGGTTTGTATATAATTCATGCAACTAAAACAGAGTGAACAATAATCTAGCACCATAGCCTATGACTTTCCTGCAAGTAAAGGAAGATTATTGTTACAATTTAAGATATCATGGATGATATATCTTGAATAGCTAAGTCTCAATTGTAACCCATTTTATTACTTATAAATTCAAGCTGTTTCTAAAGGAAACTTACTTTGATGGCTTGTTCTTTGGCTTTTACAACTTGGGGAACTGCAGCCCTAATGTCAAACCAATATTGGAGTCAGATACCATATATGAATGCTTAGTTTAACAGAATATTTCATGGAGGAAGAAGGGAAGAAAGAAGAAACTGAAAGAGCTTAAATGGTGGTCATTGCTAAAGACTAATAGATCATTATTAATGAAAAAATAATAAAGGCTTTGATTTACGTGCTCCATTTCAACTATAGTAGCATACAAATGTGTCATATTAGGTTACTTTTCAATACAATTTCCATTACATTTACATGTATATAATCCATTAAAGGTGAAAGTCATAGAAATTAGTTGAAATTATTAGTTACAAAATAATAGAAGAATAACGAAGGGTTCGGATCCCATTAAGCGTCGAGGTGAATATCAAGTATATGTTTATGTTCCGTTCCTCTTTTTAAATTAATAAGAGTAATTAATTTTACCGAGTAAATAAATTGGAAATACAATAAAATTTTAATGCTAAAAAAAACTTACAAAAACTAGAATAGATTAGTCATATCAATCAATCATTCCCCTAAAATCATCAAACAACACAAACTAAACACTAAATAATATAAATAAAAATCATATTAAAAAGTTTAAAAAAATAATCAAATAACTCAAAAAAATAAAAGATACAAATAAATACCATTGTCGTCGGTGGAAGATAAGCATCATCAATACTATCAACACTAAAATGAATATAATGACAATGGTACATTAACAAATTGATTTTTTTTTCATTTTCTAAAGATGATAAAAAAATCAATGTCATTTTCTTTTACCTGGTAAGGAATAATATTAAACATATATTGTGTAGTATAATTTAAAAGGAAAAAAAATAAAATAATAGTGACAGAATAAATTAGAATCTGCAAAGAAATGAGATTCAAATGCTAAAGTTAAACTTATACTACAGTGGTCATATTTTTCTAATAAAGATGGAAATCAAAGTTGAACTTTAGCATTTGAATCTCATTCCTTTGCAGATTCTAATTTATCTTGTCATTATTATTTTGAGCTTTTATTTTTTTCAAATTACACTACTTAATATATGTTTAATATTATATCTGACTTGGTAAAAGAAAATGACATTGAATTTTATATAAATAATACATCTAGGCATTAACGATTTGGTAATTTAAGTAGAAAATATATTGGCAAACACTATGGAAGTTGCAGTATATAATAAATTTTAACCTGGAAATGGAATTCAAACAAGCATGGCTAGAGAGTTTAGTTTTATTGCTGAAGATGATGCAGTCTTTCAGCTTCAAAGCTATGAGGAATTAGTAGTTTTGCTTTCTGTTATTGCTATTTTCCTATCAGTCATCTCAATACTCATATTTGCTTGTGCTGACTGCCCCGAACCTGAACCCGGCCAAAACCAACGTAGTACTGGAGGGCGCAATACTGGAGGTGGCTGTGGCGGCGGCGGAGGTGGCTGTGGTGGCGGCGGCTGTGGTGGTGGTGGTTGAAGAGTATAAATAATGCACAGAAGTACACCTTGAATTAAGTGACGGAATAAAATTGAATGCTTTGTTTGTGTTTTGGGATGAAGGACTGAATCCCGTATTTGTAGATGTAATAATATTCGTGGATGTAAGTGTCAAGCTGATCCCTTTTCCTTTATATGGACAAACAAAGCTGTGGGTTGTGGATGCTTTTAATTTAAAATAGATAAAAGTTAAATCACATTTCAAGGTTGTTGAACAGCAATTGTTCATGTAAATTTTAGTCTTGATGTAGAAAAATTATGTCCAAAAAACATTTCATTAGTTGTTATGGTAAATTAATTATAAGCTAATAATGTATGAAAATTATGTCACTATTAAATTGGTTCGTTTATATGATGGATGATCGCATTTTAAATTCAACAAAATTCATTCGTTAAAGAGTATATTAAACATTTTACCAACATGGGTTGGTTAAAGTGGTAAGCAGTTTGATGTCGTTTAAGTAAATCTCGAGCTCGAATCCTTGTGTGTGTAGAAAGTCTCTGCTAGGAGATTTACCCACCAAAGTCAGATGTATGATCCGAGTCGGTTCAAATTAGTCATGGCAAGACCTTAAGAACCGGAAGGACAATAGAAAAAAATATACTAAATATTTTATACGAGGATCTTTCCTCCAACATCTTATCAAGTACAATCCCCATGCTAGGTTTACTTAAATCCAAACTCTTTGTTTCCGATATGCATTTGGTATATGAATTATAGATATCTTTTTTTAAATTGATATTTGTTGATACTAAAATTTGATTCTATCTATTGTGCTGATATGTTTATTAACTTTGTTAATTTTCAATATCAATGATGATGTCATTTTTAAAACGGTCTTTAAAAATATTCAAAATGAAAAATATATTAAACATTAATTATCTGATTTTATCAATTCATCCTTAGCCAAGTAGTCTAGTTTTACTCATTTGTTTATTTTTATTTAAATCTTCCATATATTTTTTATTTTATCACGAAATAGTTTCATTTATTTTTTAATACGGAACCTTTATACTTCACTTCCGTCTGTTTTCTCTTTACTTCACATTTAATTTGTGAAAATTTTAAAATTAATTAGATAAATGTGTATACTCATCATTAAAACAAGTTTTTTCAATCCATACATTAGTGATGACTTTACTTTATTATAACAATATTCTATCACAAAACTAACTTTTTAAGTAACCCATATTTCAAAATTATAATATTCATGTTAAAGAATACAATTTTAAGTGTTTTAAACGATAAATTTAAGAAATTTGAGATTCTTAACTTGTTTTTTATTGTTTTAAAAAAAGCTATATTTCATTTTTTTCTGTATGGTTGAATTTTGAATAACTTTTTTTTTACTAATTTTAAAGTATATTTTTTTAAGAAAATACACATATAATGACGTTATCATTGATACATTGTACAATCTTATGTTATCAAATCATCAAAACAGTAAATGCAATTAAATCTAAATATGAACTTGAAAATAAAAATTCTTTAGACAACAATTTGAGAGAGAGTGTCTATTTCAAGTCTCAAATGTATATTTAAATCTATATATACTTCTAATAAAAATATGAGACACTCGTTTCAGTAGGCACATATTACATCTTTTTTTCTTTTTAATTGCTTGGGTTACAGTGGCACATTTAGAACAAAAAAGAAATGAAAATAAAAACCAAAAATTGACCTGATATTTCAAAAACATGAATCAGGAACAAGGTAAAACATGGAATTTGACACAGAAGGAATAAAAGACAATGAATCAGGAACAAAATAAAAGACAACTCGTGAAATGGCCCAACTAAAATTTGTTTTTCGAAAGTGTAAATTCCAAGTATTTTAACCATGATAACATGAAATACAAAATGAATTACTATTTAACTTATGGGCCTAGAAAAGTTGTCTGTTAAGGCATTCATATGTATCAATATCTGACATTCCTAGACATAAATAATTTGGGTTCAATTTACAAGAAATTCATGCAAGTATAAGAAATCTTAATGAAGCTCTTGAAAAGGTGTGTATGAAAGTTTATAAAACATTCCTCCACAAGACTTATAGGTGCAGGCAAGGAGACATTCATTTACAAACTCTAAACCAAGACAAAGGAACACAAATAAGGATGATCTTACCTAAACTGAATGGATGGCTTCATCATGAGCCCCGATCGCTTCCAAGCCAAGGCTTGTGAAAGACTTAGCGCAAATGATTTGTCTGGCCATAGCACCATTGGTGTGATATGAGTTCCCCATTTATTCTGATGAAACATACTAACAAAACATTTCAGCAACCACAGAAGCACCCCCAAAACAGAATAGTGAATCCTTATGCCAAAGTTTTAAAAGACTAAACTACTACTACTTTCGCTGCCCGTCACTGGTAGGCAGTAAAGAGCTCGGGACCTGAACTTGCATGAGAAACTATATCTCATTTCCCCTGGATATTGGCCCTGAGCCTGAAGAAGACCTCCACAAAGAGGAAGGAAAGCACTTGTTGTCAGCCCCTCACCGGACACATAGGTGAACTGTCCATTTGGAAATTGCAGATCTACAAACGACTGAATAAAATAAGGGAGAGTAAATATGAGAAAGAAGAGATTGGTAATGTTAGAAGATCACCCCAGGAGGATAAAACTTTCTTGAATTTTAGTGCGGAAAGCTAAGAGTCGCGAGAACTGTCTCAACTATCACCTCCGCTACCATGAAGGACATAAATATCAAGAGCTGCTCTTTAAGAGTAAAATAGATAAATCAAGTTTCTCGACTATCATAGATAAATACTAACCCTAAAAAAGACAGCTGGAAAATCGGATATTTTATTTCCACTGAAGTGGATACTGATAAGTAACTGATATTTTGGAAATTCAGACTGTTGAAAAAGAAGCATAAACACCGGATAAAGGGATATGAATGCTACTACCAACTTACACATGCTAAAGGATTAAGACAAAGCATTGACATCAATAGCCACCTCCTATGCTTCTTCCATACTGCAGGACAAAGAGAATGCATTCCACTCTGAAACCAAATAAATAATCATTAAATAACAGAGAAGAAAGTAAACAATTACACAAACATTTAAACATCAAAACATGACGTTCAAGCTATATTACTAGCTTTCACGTTTCAATATAAGCACTACCAAGTAAAACTATTAAGTGCATCTTATGGGGCAAATGTAATGATTTACAGAAGAAAACTAAAATGATCCAAACACGTAAAACTTGGACAAAAGAATGTAAAAGTTATCGATTGTAATAGAACTTAAAAGATTATATCCTAACTTAATCAACTCTCAATTGTGGTTAAAATTTAGTAACCTAAAGAAAACTCAGCAAATTAAAAGACCTAAGAAAAACCCAAACTTGGGTGACAAAGAAATTAAAGAACTGTCCTGGAATGAGTAAATTGACTTCTAATGGAATGTGTCTACTTCATGTTTTTTTACTGTAAATTAGACCAAAAATAAACTATAGCAGAGACCAGAGGACATACAAAGGCAGCTTACTGCAGTCAGACAAAAGAGGAAAAAGGAAATAGTTGAAAGAATTTCACCCCTTATTTACTTGATTCACCAGAAAATCTAATGAAGACCAAAATATGCATCTTGGGACAATAGTTCACATAAACTTAATGGTAAAACCACAATAAGCTCAAACTCTATCCAGTTTAGTTCCATAGGAATATGCGAAACTGTGTTTCATGGAACATTAATGCAATTCTCCCGCTACTGCAATTTCCTTTGTCTAAAATTTTACAGCTAGCACCAATTATTCCCTAAAAGTATTATCATACCTTCCTATTGTAACCATACCATAGCAAATGTTGCTTTGATAGATGATCGGGTAAAAGGAGTGTCGTATCTCGTACAAACAGTACTGGCCCAAGCATCTGATGCCTCTACTCTCCATAGGTCTCCCATTGCATCCAAAGAACTTTCAAAGTGTTCTACTCTCAAATGTTGAGGTAATATTATAATTCCCTGCAAAGAACCAAAGATTAACCAAAACAAATCAAAAGACATGCAAAAGCAATAATCATTAACAATGTGAACGGAAAAGAAACAACACATCGTTTTCGCATTCAATTCAAAAGGAACACAAAGGAACAAACACAAACCTTCCATTATCCTATAACTTCTATTCGTATTAAGGGGGAAAAGGAAACAGATAATATGCAGAACGTATAGTAGCCTACATTAGGCCAAACAGATGCCTCTATAGTGATCCTTCAAAAAAAAAAAAGATGCCTCTATAGTGAGTATTTACTGTTAGCTTAGAACTTGAAAAAGAAAAGAACTGTTGTAGTAGGTAATGGTAAGCCAAGCTCTTCCCTAACTGTGTAAGAAATAATTAATGGTGGTGCGTGCACAACAAAATCAATATTATCTTTCACAACAAACTGCAACAATTTGTTCTAAACCTTTAGGTTGTAGAGCAAAAAATACTCGAGAACAAATTAGCCTATATATCAATTAAGTAAAGTAGGCAACTCCTTTCCCATTTCCAGTTACTAAACTTATCAGTTATGGCAATATAGGATTGAAATAGCATATTCGCCATTATTAATCAATCAATAATTCAATATTACAAACTTAAAACAGCAATTATTCAAGAATTTTACACAAGCAAAATTCATGAATTCAGATACATAACTATCCCTAAAGATTATCATTTTTTTATTTATTTGTTAGTTTACCTGTGGTTTGCCAAGTAGTCCAGCAGACTTCAAATTAAACCCTGGAATCTCCTCATCTCCCACCCCCTCGGAATTGCTCTCATTATCCACAAACCCGAAATCCTTTGACTCTGAAAATCATACCAATCCCTTCAGATCATTAACACCCACCTCAGCATTTTACCCTTTAACATTTGTATCGCCTCTAACCGACACAACGACACTCTCCTCGACACTAAACGGGATCGGTAACCTCCGGAAGAACTGCTGCACCAACCCATTTAAGCCAGCACCAAACTCCGCCCCGACTTGGTCAATCCTGTTCCCGATACTACCGATGTGAAAAATAACTGACTTATCAATGGGAAGACCGAAATCCTTGTTAACAAAAGATTGGGATGGGATCTCGAGGTCGAAAAGCTTCGGTTTTGGAGGGTTTGGCCATGTAAACGAAGGTGGGTTCATGTGGGATTGGATTAAACCAGTGAAGCCTTGAGCTAGCCAATCGGCAAGGTCCTGACCATGGCGTTGGACCTCCTCCCAGGTTTCAAATGACCTTTCGACGGACATTGAGTTATTTTGGGTTCTGAGAATTAACTTACTGGATTACAATAAAGGAATGCCGGTTTTTTAGAGTTTGAGTATACCAACTTTTCAAAGGAAAGTTTAAAAGCTAAATATTATTGGCTTTGAGATGGAATGAAAAAAAAATCGAAATTGAGTTAAGGATCTAAAGAATTTAGCAGAATGAAATGAAAGATAAAATTTAGCTAATTAAAGATGTTTTTCTAATCGAGTAATAAAATTAAAGCTTTTAGATTTGCCATGCTTCCATGTTGATGGAGATAACGTGTGGTTACTGAAACAGAAATTCTTTTCTTATTTCATCCTGGGAAAATTTAAGAAAAAAATGATGAGGATATAAACGACTATTGAAGGTTGATATCTAAGCGATTCGAGCCATCGCTAATTTCAATTGACTGAAATTTACGCTACATTTTAGATATTTCAATCCTGATGTCTTCTGATAAGCATCTCTTCAGTCAAGTCGGTTGCTTTTATGGTTACCAACTTCAAATCCAATTCGTAGATCTTTAGCATCCCAAAAGCCACTACGCTTGTGCTTGGTTCAGAGGTTTTAGTGTGCTTAAAAACATTTTTTTTTCCTAGATTCTACTGAAGCAATTTGTAGCATTTTTGCTTGCAATAGGAACTGGTTGCTTTGCGGACTTTGCTATTTGACTCGCCATACTGAAGTAATCTATTTCTAGATTCATTTTTGTTCGTTTCTGTGACTGCTTTTAGTCAGATTAAGACATAAACAGATACACAGATTACTGAGGGCGAGGTGCATTTGAGTCCATGGGGGCCGAGTTGACAATGTCACCTGGAGATATTGCATTCAAGGTGTTTAACCTGCTCTACATCTCCCCTTTTTTCCTGCATCTCTTTTTTCTGATTCTTATGATACTATTCTAATTACAGGAGACTATCGAACACTTTTGATTTCAAAAGCAACTGCATAATGCACTATCTGCTCCTTCAGAAACTTGTACTAGTGTCTTTGTACCAGTGGAGGATGAGCACAAGCCTGGCAGAACAGATGGCTATGATTTTGGATTTCTAAATATTAAGGTAATGACCAAATGAATCAATCATTTGTTGTCCTTTTTTTGTGTTTAGAAGCAGGGAAACAATGCAAGTAAGTTCAATCATTTCCAGTGATTCAATTTTTGAGTTTAATACTTCCAGAATCATGAGACAGTTCTCTTTTGGAAAAGAAAAAACCATTGGCATCTTCCAGAATCAAAGCAAAAACTCCATATCAAGTTCCAACAGAATATTTAAGAATATGCAGGTTGAATAACTGTTGATCCATACGAATTTCCCAATTGTTCTAAATACTTCCTTTCTTTAGATAGATAATAAAGTTTATCATGTAAACACTCGTGAAAAAGTAAATAAAAAATAAAAAAGCAGATAATAAAGCAAGCATTATTCTTTCTATTCGTAAGTTGCAAATGTGGTATGTGTAATGCATCAGCAAAAGCATGCACACATAAAAAAGAGTGGATAACAAAGCAGAGTTTAAAGCAACGTGTTCTTTTGTCTTATCTTTCAACACCTTAAATCTAATTCATGGGTTAATCATAAACAAGTCCTTGAGATGTACCTTTTTTAACGGTTTATTACTTAAAAGTTTCACAATTACGTGTTAATGAGTTATAATTCGAGCATAATTTACATATGAAGCCTTAGTTTATTAGTTACTTTGTGTGTGCTTATTTCTTTAACGTTGTGGTGGTCACCATTTGAGGAACTTTTCTTTGCTGCTTTTCATCAGCTTCATAGATCCATGTGCTCCTCGTTATGTAAATCAAATAATTCAAATTTCTACCATCGACTAACTTTTTTTAAAGCTTAATCAATAAGAAAAAACAATCATAAAAAATGGTCATTCAACACCTCATCAACTCAAAGAAATAAAGGGAAAGAGAGGAAGAGTAGCGATGTATGTGACAAGGCCTCTTTCTCTATACAGGAAATCTCCAATTGCTCTTGAAGATGAACCACCTGCTGAATGTCCTTATCCTGGTTATTTAGTGATTACAGATGAAGAAGCTGATGAACAAGACACCTTGTGTTGCGGGGCTTATAAGAAAAAGGGTGTTGAAAAGCTGCCTTTCCCACAAGACAGGATGTTGAACGTTGTTCATTCATCGGTGGTTGAAGAAACTATGGTCAAGAAGGTCTGGTTTATCCCTGTCCTCGATCAGCCTCTTTCTTCCAATCAGTACTACGTTATTCGAGCCAAAGGCAGATACAAAGGGTAAGTTTCCGATCATGTTCGACAGATATAAGTTCAAACTCGGGTGCTGAGAGTTACGTTTTTTTGTGCAAACTTGCAGGCTGGCATGTACAAGTTCAAGGGAGATAGACAGCAAGCTATGTTGCTTATTCAATGATGGTATCAGTGATGTAAAACTGAAACCACTTGATCATAGAAACGTTTATCAACAGTTCAAGATCCTTCGTCACCATAGGCACAGTTTCTTCGCTAAATCCACCGCAACGAATTCAAACCCACCATAGGCTGGCATTAAAATAATTATCTTTAGATCCGAATCATACTTTTTTTTTTACTTTAAATCTAATTATATACTGACTTTGACATATGATACTTCACAAAACTTATCTTTACTCATTGCGAACTCAAATTATATATATATATATAATCGTCGGATTCATATAATTTGACCATCTTCTCCTAACGATGCAATCTTGTTTCACAGCCCAAATAATGTCTGGGCCATACCGCCCATTTCCTTCTATTTTCCTCGCAAAAAATTCAAAAAAACTCCATTTTCCCGGCTATAGACACCGTTTTCGCTATAAAAAGAAAAAATATCATCTAAAAATCGAAAAGAAAAAAATGGAACCGGTGGTGGTATCGGTGAGTGGATACCGCGGCCTTGAACGTTTCAACCTAATCAAGCTCATATCCCTAGCCGGTGCCAGCTATGTTGGCAATTTCTCCCGTTCAGTCACTCATTTGGTTTGTTTTCTTATTTCTTAGTACTACTTCGATTTAAAGAAAATTAAAGGGAAGAAACTGAAAATCGTTCGGTTGTTAGGTATGTCGGAGATTCGAAGGAAAGAAATATGAACTTGCTAAGAAGTTAAAGTTGATGGTCGTAAATCACCGGTGGATTGAAGATTGTATAAAGGAAGGGAAGCGTTTGCCTGAGGAACCTTATATGTTGCGAAGGTATTAATTTACCATTTTCGTTTCTAATTTTTAGATTTTTGTTTTGGTTTGATGTATCTCAAAAGTTAGATTATGTTGATTTGGCAATGAGAAATTATGGAGGGTTGTTTGTTTGTAATTAAGGGATTGTTAGTAACTTATTAAGGCTGATTTTGGTAGTAAAGAAGAAAATTCAATATTTTCTGTTTTGTTGGTAGAGGAGGCTGAAAATGGAAGTGAAAATAGTTGCAGATAAAATTGCGATCGCTTTAGATGTTTTTGTAATTGATGCATCATTTCTCCTAGAGTTTGGCGAGAACAATATTTTAAAATGTAGTTCTCTGAAAGCAGCTGCTAATAGAATCCTTCAAAATTTCTATGATTGTGGAACTTATTGCTTGATAAGGTTTGAAGTTAATTGTCAGAAATGGCAGAAAATGAGATTATGTTGGATTGTTGGAGTCTTATTTTTACCTTTTTATTTTGTTGTAGTGGAGAAGAAATGGGACCTCTGTTGCTGGAGATCCCTGAAGTTGCTAAGGGAGATGCCTTGACTAAGAAGTGCAAAGTGTTTTCTGAAAAGCCTAGTGTTCACGATAGTGTTGTAAATGAAATAACTGATGTTGACTATGGAGGTTCTGGCTTATCTGGTTGGTCCAAATCTGCGGTGTTGGATGAGGTGGTTATATAACTTCTACTCCTCATTGCTTTGTTTCCACGTCTCACTCTTTTCCTGCTTTTTTTCTGTTTTGCAAACACCGCACGAGAATTCTTGGTCAGGATACATAATCAGTGCTTCTTTAAGCTAGACAACTGTGAAGGAATCTTGATTGATAATTAGTACTGCACTGTATGTCAGTTGAGTTTATGTCCATGCACAAGTAAATTAGCATCTCTATTCTAACCCATAGAAAGTAACTCTGCAAACTATTTCTAGAGGTAGCCAGTTAGATTTTCAAGGTTTCTGCTAAAGTTCAATACAATATTCAAATTTTCTGTGTCATTGTATGGATTTTTAAGGAATAATTGCCCAGTTCTTATTTTCTTGACTTTGCTTTTTTACTTTATCTGGTTGGAAAGCATGGAGACCCATTTTCTTATGCTTCTGTGCCTCCAATGAGGAACAAAAGGAAGATCTCAAAGAACAAAGAGCCAAATGCTCATCGTTCTGCTCTGTTGCTGAGGGAAGAAAGAGATCTTCGTAATGGTAGCAGAGACACTTCTATGATCAAATCATCTCAGAGGAAAGGACGGAGACTTGTGAAGAAGATTAATAGAGAGATAGTAGTGTCTGATTCTTCTGATTCTGACCAAGAGTGCTATCCAGTTCCACTCCTCAGGGTCCATAAACCATGTGCTGGAGTTATAAATCCATCTAATCGTGCAATTGGAGGACCATCTAATTGGAGCACTGTTGGTATATCTGAAATTGGAGAACCATCTAATCGTGAGTTCAGTAAGCTTCAGAGAGTAGATGAAGAAATAGAAGTTGAGGAGATCAAATTGTGGAACATCCGACCCCCTTCCAATGGTTTAACTTCACCAGGAAAGAATGCGCAACCTGCAGCTGAAAGAGCTTCCCCAGATGGGTGTTCTGATGCTGGGGGAGAGACCCAGTATCTTGCTTCCAGATTATCCACCTCCATGGATTTATCATGTGTTATATGTTGGACTGAGTTTAGTCCAACAAGAGGGATTTTGCAATGTGGACATCGATTTTGTTATTCATGTATCCAGGAGTGGGCTGACAAGATGGTACACATTCTCATCTTCTTTTTTTAATAATTTAAATTCATATGTTTGTAGTTGACATTTCTTTAATTATTATTAATATCCTACACAAGAAGCTAGGTTAGATACGATTATTCTTAGTTTAATGTTTTATTTATTATATGTACCATATGATGTTTTAAGCTCGCCTTTGCTAGCTTATATTCTATTTTGTGCTGTAAACAACCATTTTTGCTGTCACTATCGTGCAAGTATGCACCATTTTACTGATGCATGTTCCTTTTTTTTATTAGAAAGTAAAGGGGTCCAGGTCACTCTGGCCCTCTCTAATTCATTGCTTACTTTAGTAATTAGACATTTGAGTTTGCCACTTGCTATATCTTGCTTGTTTCTGAATGATCATCTCTCCAGAATTTCAAATTCATCAAGCGCTTTGCATTGTTTTCAACAATACAGTAAACTAAGGGTAAGTTTTGTTTGTACAGTCATGAACAGGCCAATACTTGTACATTTCTTGGTTCTTTATTCCCCCTCCAGTTTTTACCAACTGTTTATGGAGAATAAGAGTAGTGGAAAATGATGCCTGTTCTTTTGCTCTTTATGGTCTAGAACTTAAAACAGTTTCCATCTAATATTTCAGGATTGCTAAACTATTATTATTTATGAGAACTGATTTCCAACTCGGTATTCTACTTAGTTGTATCATCAGTTTGGATCTTAATTTCATGATGAATTGTTGCATATGATTTCCCCCCCCCCCTTATGTCTTACCTTGAACTTGTTCCAATTTGAAAGTTTCTTGTACTAATTATGCTGCATGCAGACTTCAAATAGAAAGACTCCATTTTGTCCTTTGTGCAAGGCAAGATTCACGAGCATTACAAAAGTGGAGGATGCGGCCATCTCTGATCAAAAAATATTTTCCCAAACCATTCCTTGCACCACACCAACACTTCATGTTCCTATTCTATCTGATCAGGAAAGAGCTGGTTTTGGTGCTCAGGTAGCGGGCACACTAATACTGAAATTGCCTCTATCTTTGTAGCATGACGCCATGCTTTATGATGTTTCTGCATAGCATTTTAAAACCAGAAACAGTACACTTAAGTGGTTGTGGTGGTTGATGAAAAATTGAAGGGGTAAATGGCAATTACACGGTATAGAAGTTAGGAAAAGATACACGGAACAAAACATAATGACATGCACATACTGGTATTCATAATTAGGTACCCTTAAGTGTATGCCTTTCATTTACATTTGATGGCATTTCTTTTTGTGTGATTTATGGCACAAAAGTGTCTTTACAGAGAGATGTTAGACAATTGTAAAATTGGTTTCGACTCTATCCAAACAAGGCCTTCCAAGTATTACATTCCAATGACTTTCGACTTTCTTTTTTCTTCAAGTAGTCTTGTCTGACATTTATGACCAACATATATTCAAACATGGGTATGCAAAATCGTACATTCCAATAAAAAATTGAATGAGTGTCAGACGCATACAGTGACACTCGAGTCTAAGTAACGTTGTATTTCATCCATTTTCATTTGTTGCTTTCTTGGTGACACCAACAACTTATAATTCTTATGGTACTTTACAGTTGATTTTACTAAACTGACTTTGAACATTTCTGGGCTATCTTTTTGAATAGTTATCAGCTGCTTCAGTTTGCATCATGTGCCGTTGTCGAGAACCCGAGGATCTTCTTATCAGCTGTCATGTTTGCCAGATGCGAAACATACATAGATACTGTCTTGATCCTCCTTTGTTACCCTGGACCTGCATTCATTGCCAGGATCTTGAGAGGCTCAACCCTTACACATTCTAGTGCACATTAATTCCATGATGGGAATATGTCTGGCTTTTTGACAGTGGCGTTTTTTAACATTGTTGTCCATAACATGGATGTTAAATTGTCTACATTCAACTATTCCTGGTGATGGTTATGCTTAATTTTTTTTTTCCTGAATGAAAATAATTCTTGTACACATCCGATTATATGGTAATATCCGGACAACACGATTATATGATATGGTAGTATTTGTTTAATCATTCTTTAATTATTAATTTAAGAGAAGATGTCTATTTTAAATCAATTTTTTTTGAATGGTTTAGAGTGATTATAAGGTAATATTTATTTAGAATTTTTTTTATCTTATTAATAATATATACACATGCAATTGCTTGAATCTAAGATTTCTAGAGAGAATAATATATACCATTAGAACTATTTGATAGATTTTATTCTAAGTCGATTTTTAACATTGAAAAAATAACAAATGATAATGAAGAGAAGCATGAATACTATACGAAGTTGCAAGTTCTAATGGTAAAAACTCCACTGGCTTTATTATATTTGCAAAATATTTAAAGTTACAAAGAGTTTAGCATTTCACTGTGAGTGCTTGCTCGCATTGCCCCATTATCGTTCATGGTTTCATCATTATCATCATCAAGTACAAGTGTCGACGCTTGTGCTTTCAATTCTTCAACACCAAAAGTCCATGCACTAATTTCCTTCTGATACTCACTCATTGATCTTGCTTCTTGTTCTAGTGATCAGAGTCGGTTAATCGGGAGATTACCCTGAGCGATTGCTCAGGGCTCCCGTTTTCTACAAGATCTTTAATTTTTTATAATTCTCATTTTTTTTACCTTTATAATTGAGGTTTTTAATCTTATTTTCTACTTTTATAAACGAGACCCCTAATTTTTTGAGTCTCACTTTTTATCTTTATAAATGATTTGATTGATACCAAAATGAAATGTTACTAACTTAAGTAACAAAAATATTTAATACTGAGATTAGAATTGATTTTATAATGTAACGGTTAAATTGGTAGTTTATCCATGTCTTTATTAGGGAACCAAATCTGGAGCTGAAATCAGCCCATTAGAGTGAAGAAACCGAAGCTGGGGTTTCATGCTTTCCTTACCAGTTCTGGTTTCAGAAATTTCAAAAGGCCCATGACCTGCAGAAATCAATGCTTGTTTTGCCTTGGATACATTTTTGTTTGTATGATGAAATGAAGGAAAAAGTATGTAGAGATGTAGGGGTTATATCCAAGGATATGTGTGTTTGCCCTTGGATTCCATCATGAAAACATCAGAATCTACAACAAAAATAAAATGTAGTGCATTTGCAGCACCAATTGTCATTGGATTCCATGTGATAGCATTAGTGGGTATTGATTCAAGTGAAAGTAGAGAAAAAGCTGAGGGTTTCCCACAAATATTTGAATCAATTAAGCCCAGCACAAAGTGGGCATGAGTGCTTCTAAACAAGATCGTTTGAGCCTTGAAGTTCCTGACAAATGTTTGATACTTCCCATTTATCCATGCCAAACCTACATAGAAACCTCTCATATCGTCTTTGAATGAAATTTTTGCCTCACTTTTGTGCAGAACATAACATTCACAAAAACTTCCTCAACAACAATGATTTAGTCTTATGCTGATACTGTGTGATCTGATGGTGTAGGTGGTTAAAAAATATTATTTTTTAAAATGTTTTTAAGTCCAAATAGTTGCTTATATGTTGTCAGTAAATTAAATAAAGTTTCAAATAAATATTATTTTATAATTACTTCATACTATTCAAAAAAATACGTTTAATCAAAAGTATAGCATACTTTAATTACTTATTTTAATTTAAAATGTATTTTAAGTAATTAAATAAAAAAATACGATAATGTTAATTAATTATCTTTTATTAAAATACAAAAATATATACATATATATTATTGAATTAAGTAATTAGAAAATAAAAGAGAAAATAGTGAGAAACATATATGGGCAAGATTACTTTAATACCATGTGTGTGTGTTTTTCGATAATTATGATTTTATTACCCTAAACAAAGTTTAGATACAACCAATCAACAATTAAAGAATCAAAATAAACAGTCTATACAAAATGATTGGTTTAACTATACCTCAAGCATTATAAAGCTTTAAGTTAGTACTATTTAGCCTATTAATATTAGTTCCCCTAAGACGGATGCCAACAACGTCATTAACCTCCTTTAGCAAGCAGTCGATCGTTCTACTACGTCCTTGAAAAATTCGTTGATTTCTTTCCTGCCACAAAGAGTAAATAACAGTAGTCCAGGAAATTTTCAAAATGGTAGAGAGTAAAGACCTCCATTTCCATGACGAACAAGCCTTTATGACCATTTCATCCCATGATAAGAAAGTGATCTTCATCCCATTAAGATTTAGAATTGAATTCCAGAGTTCCACTGTCAGTGTACATTGTGAAAAGAGATAGTCTCTTGACTCGTAAGAGTTGCTGCACTTAACGTAAATATTGTCGGTGCTAATTCTCATTCTAAGTAGTCAATCTCTTGTAGGTAATTTGTTGAACACATACATCCAAGCAATCAAACTGAACTTTGAAATATGCAAATACCATGTGTGTTTGTTTGTTCAGTGTGAACAATTTTTGGCAGCGTGAGTTGCGCCCAAAGTGGTTGATTTTATTCCATTTTAGGACTATAAATCCACTATTTCGGCTGGAAAGTCATACTTTTATATTGGTCCAAACGAGATTTAAGTTGCGTTATAGTAATTCTCATTATTACATCTTAACCTTAGTCTTCTCTCCTCTTCTTTTCCATATTTTGTTAAGAGATTATTTGGCATAACTAGAATCGGATTATCTTTCTAAGTTCGAAAATTTGTATGAAATTATATATATAAAAAAAGAGACAAAAATATTAGATCTAATAGTAGTTTTGTAAAAAAAAAATAGAATCATCTAAAATATAAAATGAATTTAGATTCTAATATTTAAGGTAGAAGATCAACCTAATTTAATACGGTTTCTTAATCGTACATAATAATTTTAGATTTTAATCATAATCTTCTATTGAATAATTTATAGTAATTATAAGATAACACTTCCTTTAATCATCTGATTATATTAAATTAGAGATTTTATTAAAAACAATTCGTTCGTGCTAGAGAACTAACATAGATAAGTCAAAACCTGAAAAATGTTCAACTTCCTTGATTGGCCTTTAATGTCATTTTCAATTGATTTCAAAGATGGAGACTAATTATAAAATATCTTTAAGGAAAAATGAATAAAGTATTCTTTTGGCTTAAACTTTTTGATGTGAAAGACAAACCAACCACACACAAGATTTGTACTCTTCATTCAGGATTTCAATGCAAAAGGATCAAACACTTGTTGATTTCGGGTTCTATTGCAGTTTTCAACACAGTAAATATACAACTCAATACATTATATTGATTTTTTATGTTCAACTTCCGATTTTTAATCAATTTAAATTAATAAGTTAAATTTGAGTATCATTTTAAATTTTAAAAAATAAATTTAATTACCAAGTCTGATAAAAATTTAAATATTAAAAACACGTTTTAAAATATGCAAGTTGAAATGAAATAAAAAAATGCATAGTAACAATTAGTAATTAAAACATGGCATGATTTATGCTAATGGCATGCTTGACAAGACATTAATATATCATTTATTGACTTTTGGGGGTGGTAAATTATGATATCTGATCTTGTTTGGACAATGGATTATGGACTTACTATGTTTTTGTATTATATTAAGGGTAAAGTACATAATTTCTCATTTGATTATAGGGTATTATTTTGTTGAGTCTCTTAACTATTAAATGTTATAAAATAGTCCCCCGATTACAAGATGTTGTTTTACTGAGTGATTCGGGCATTAAAAGTTACAAAATATTCACCCGATATTCATATATTCCAAACACATAATTTTTCGTTATAAAATTGGTGGTCATTTGAGATGAAAGTTAACATGTTAACTGTATGATAAAATTTGATCCAATAATCATCTTAGTTGTGTTATGTGGATCGAATCTCTATTTGCATTATGTTGTCAAGCCTGTTCTTGAATCATTATACTAGCGAGCCAGTGCTTAAAAGCAACGGCGTGCCAGTAAGCATCATTAAAATATGATTTTATCATATATCAATCACTAATTTAACGTTTAATTTAAACGAACGTCAATTTTTTTAACAAATACGAATAATTTTAAAATATATGACTAATAAGGCGACTATTTTGCATATTTTCATAACTGTGAGGCTCAACAAAACAATTTTAATTTAGAGATCTTTTTATAATTTTTAATAATGAGAAAAGTTGACAAAACAACCTGTTATAATTGTGTACTTTACCCTTATGTTAATTACAATACTTACGTGATATGTTAGATGTTTAAAAGTTTTTGAATTGAATGTCTTATTCATATTAAAAAAGCTATAAATATTAATTATAATAAAATAATTTTTTTATTGATATAGGGTAAGCACATAATAGTATATATAAAAAATAACTCTTCACCATTTGATATTAAATGTTCGTACATTTAAAATTTGTGATGTTTAAATTGAAAATTTTAAAAAATAACAACAACTATTTTACCACGAATATTACTTGATTCATTAAAAAAATGACTTTTTTAATATTAAGGTAAGAAATCCATCGTGTTTGGTTTAATTTGCATTTAGATTTATTTGGTATGAACTATGATTTGATTTTTATTTATAAATTAAAAATAGCAATTAATTGCATTGAACTTTAGTTTAATTTATTTTGTAATTAAATTTTGATCATTTTTATGTTATAAATTAAATATTTTTAATTAAATTATTAAAAGATCAATAGAGTACAAATGTATAATATAAAATTGATGTTATTTTTATCGAAAATATATTATCATAATTTTCCCTGTCCATCACATCAAAGTGCACAACCCTCGAGAATCAGATCGTAGGTTGGACCCATTGAACCGTCCAAGAATCTGCCTTCCTCGGGTACGGTCCCACATCATTCTCCACATTACCCACGTGGCATTCATCCAACGCACTCTCACCTAAGGATGTAAAAAAAAACCGAACCTAACAGCGAAAATCTAAAACCGACAGCGAAAATCTAAA